GATAATGGGAAATATATATGTAGAGAATTAAGGTCCGAATTAGGACCTTAGAGTTAAAAGAATATTTTGAACAATATCTGAAACCCTGCATCACTGGTATAGATTGTTTTTTGCCTGCAATATGCCATTTTAATATATATTTTCACCCTAGGGGTAGATTAAGATATCTTAATTACTAGGACTATGTATAGAAAACAGCAACAAAGAAAATTGTGGGGGCTGGCACTGTGGCATAGCAGGTAGGGACACTCCCTGTGGTACCGGCATCCCATATGGGTGCTAGTTCGAGTCCCTGCTGCTCCACTTCCCTTCTGGCTCTCTGATGTGGCCTGAGAAAGCAGTGGAAAATTGCCTAAGTCTTTGGACCCCTGCACCCATGTGGGAGACCCAGAAGAAGCTCCTGGCTCCTGGCTTCAGATCGGCCCAGCTTTGGCTGTTGTGGCTAGTTGGGGAGTGAACCAGTAGATGGAAGACCTCTCTCTCTGCCTCTCCTTTCTCTGTATAACTCTGACTTTCAAATAGATTAATAAATCTTTTTAAAAAAAAACTGTGCTGATATATATAATTGTTATAATTTGGACTTGTGGTTGGGTGTGATAATACTTGGCATGCATGATATATAATTGGAAGGGAATATTATATAAACAGAGAAAGGAAAAGCTTGAAACTAGGAGGCAGAGGGAAGAAGATAAATTGAAAAGCTCTCATTATAGAATTTAGTACAATTACAATTTAATTGTATACATGAAGCTGTAGGTTCTAAATGTAATTTTTTAAATATTCATTTATTGTATTTGAAAGACGATGCAAGGGGGGTGGTGAGAGGAAGAGACGCAGATGGAAGTCCAATAGGATTAATTCTATTAAATTGTTAAAGAATATTTGAAATGTTAGCTGTGATACTTTAAAACACTAGCCACAGGAGTCCTCTGATTTTGCTTCTGATGGAGAATGCTTCCAGACTTTCCCATCTGGTGACAACAGAGATATAAATTTGTGCACACACAAATAAAATTCATGTTCTATGGTGTGCCAAAGAGAGGTGGATGAAGGAAGCCTGGGCTAAGCAGATTCCAGGGGTGGACAGGCCTCACAGCAGTTCATACATCAGAGTATCACTGACCTGGGTGCAGCTGGGGGGCGTGGACTCCCCCAGCTATGAAAGACATCTCCTTCAGGGTGAGGAGAAGCCAGCCACAGCTTAATTACAGTGTGGGTTAGCAGGGTAGATTGGGATCCAGAAAATTCCCTAATAAAAAATAACAAATCACCAGTCCTGTGATTGTGTCCTCACTGCGTTGCTGCTCTGAGCAGTCCAGGAGGAGCACTGGGAAGCAGGCTGCTTGGGTGCTTCCTCACCCACTCGCCCAGTGGTTGCCGCCAGGGCCCCATTGGAGTTGAAGTCAAAGGCGAAGCAAAGGAGGAGCCTTGCTTTGTGGTGGTAGTGAATTTCAGGGCACACCTCCAAAAAATAATCTTTCAAAACATTTTTTTAACCTAAGAAAAGGTGTACTGGGGCCTGCACTGTGGTGTAGTAGGGAGCTGGCATTCCATATGGGCGCCAGTTCTTGTCCTAGCTGATCCAACTCTCTGCAATGCACTTGGAAAGCGGTGGAAAATGGCCCAAATGCTTGGACCCCTGCACCGTGTTGGAAATCTGGAAGAAGCTCCTGGCTCTTGGCTTCAGATCAGCTCAGCTCTGGCCATTGAGACCATTTGGTGAGTGAACCAGCAGATGGAAGACCTTTCTTGGCCTCTCCCTCTCTCTATCTGTAGCTCTACATCTCAATAAATAAATGAATAATAAAAAGAAAAGGTGTACCATTATCCCTTTTTAGGCTGCTCAAAAACTGAGGCTTAGCTAGGATTCTAAGCTCCGCTCTCCTCTCCTTTTAATTGGTAGCCTTTGGAAAATTAAACCTGTTATCCTGTCTATTTCAGGGTTTATAATCAGATCTTACCAGCGTCAGAGATATATTTCTTTTCGAATATAAATCATTCCTGTAGCAATAAATAGTTTAAGCAGTTTTAACTCATGCAACTTCAACTCCATACTGATTCTCTCATTGTGTTTGTTGCAAAATAAACAAAAAAGGAAGGAAGGAAGAAGAAAGATGAGCACAATCTTTATATGTATACAAGTAGAAACTTTGTTCTCAGTTAAATGCTTTTAACTGTTTCTGTGCTAGATTTTCCAAATAAACAACTATATTTAAGCCCTGAGTTGTCTAAACATGTTTTCACTTAGTAACTGATGGCATATGTTCATGAATCCCAGATCTAATGTCCTAGCTCCTTTCGAAGGCAGGTGCCTAATTCTTACCAGTGAAGAAAGATTCCTATGGTCAGTGGATGTTGTGGATCAGCACTCAGCATCTTCCCACTCTCCTTCTTCAGTGCTCAGAAGCCAGGACAGGGGGCAGGGAAGGAGGGAGGTGGAAAGCAATATGTTCGGGATCCCTAGGGGACTACAGGAACTTGAGCCAGTTAGCATCAGCTAATCAGGCCAGCCCCTGGGAGCTTGGGAAGGCAGAGTGGAATGAAAGCTGTGTTTCTGCTATTTATGCTGTTTTTGCCTGGACACACAGCTCTGCAGGGATTGGATTTTGCTGTGCCAGAATGCCAGGGTCTCGTCCCCATTCATAGACATCAAGAGACAGAATAGTGGTGACTCAATTTCACCAGTGCAGACCCGATCTGCTATAAGAACTGAATTGTGCACTCCTCCCCCTCCCCATTCCTTTGTTGAAGGCCTAACCCCCAGAATGTGACTGTGTTTGGAGACAGGGCCTTGAGAGAGACAATTAAGGTTAAATGAGGTCATAAGGCGGGATTCTGACTGAATCAGACTGGTGTCCTGATAAGAAGAGACCCCAGGGATGCCCATGCAGAGGAAAGGCCACAGGAGGACACAGAAAGAAGGTATTTACTAGCGAGCTGGGAAAGAGATCTTGGGGCAAGCACAGCTTGGCTCCAGATCAGCGAGACAATGCATTTCTGTCGCACAGGTCCCCATCTATGGCGTTTTGTTACGGCTGCTCCAGCGGACATACGCAAGCCTGGATAGAGCTGGAACAAGCGGTGGGGTTTGGGAGGATTCCTGGAAGGCAGTGAAGGCGGCACATGTCCCCACAGCCAGCAGCTCCAGGGACAGTCTCCTGGGGCCCCGACCACGTGACCTCAGCACAAGCCAGAGCTCTGTGATTGTTCTAGGAGTTGTTCTAGGGGAAGGCCAGGCAAGAGCTAGCTCTTCCAGCCCCTGGAGTGATTTGGACGCTCTGACTTCCTTATGTCCAATCCTGTCCCTACATGGCCATCTAGAAGGGCTCACAGGCTCAGGATAGGAAACTGGTACTCCAAGTCTGTCCGAGCTGTTAGAAGAAGACACCATAAAAGGGTGACTTATGAATGACAGAAGTTCACTCCAGTTTTGGGAGCTGGGATGTCCAAGATAAGGCTCTGGTAGATTCCATTTCTTGCTGTGCCCTCACGTTGTGCATGGATGGAGGTGTCTTGCTCAGTATGCTTCTGTCTCTCTCTTTAAATAGCTTGTCAAAGATCTCTCTGGCTTTTTGTTTAAAAAATTAAAGACATTTTCATTTTATTTGAAAGGCAGAGAGAGAGAGAGAGAGATCTTCTATCCATTGATTGACCAAATGACTGCAACAGGAGTTGGTAACTCAATCCAGGTCAGCAACTCATAAAAATAGTAAATTCATTCTCATATCCCTTTCACCTTGAATTGAGCTGAAGTAAATTATATTTTATGTATAAATTGCAAATATATTTAACATAATTCATATAATACATGACAAAGTCTAAATCAATTGATTGCCCATTTTAAGTTAGAGTCACAAAACTAATTTTATATTCTAATATGCCAAATTGTCATAGACATTTTATGTCTATCAGCCTATTCAAATTACTCTTAAACTTGCCACAAACTTTAATGGTAAAATATTAATAAATTAATAACCTAGATTATTTATACTAATTCTATCTTCCCAGAATCCAAAGACATTTACTCACCCATAAGAAAACAAAGCATTCAAGGCATGCTGAGGGTCACAGTTCGCTGAACAGTCTTATCTTCCTAACATTCCTGGAAATCGCAATTTTCATGATTGCGTCCTATGCTGTTATGTGAATGCATAACGATTTATCTAGCCTCCCTCACTTTCTCACCAAGAGTCAAACTGTGATGAACACTGGGGCCACTCTACTTGGCCTTTCTGAGTATTTCCCTGGGAAAGGCGCCTGGAAGGCTATGAACGCTTTGCAGGACTCTTGATAGGAGTCTTCAGGTCTCCTTTACAAAAGCTTGCCCAGGAGTCGCACCCTCGTGAACAGTGCCTCAGGACCACCTCACCATGCCCTCACCAGCACTGAACATATTTTTTTATTTACTCATTTGGGAATCGGAGTTACAGAGAGAGGAATACACACACACACACACACACACAGAGAGAGAGAGACCTTCCATCCACTGGTTCACTCCCTGGACGGCTGCAAAGACCCAGGCCAAAGCTCGGAGCCAGGAGTTAGGAGCTTCTGGGTCTCCCGCGTCGGTGCAGGTGCCGAAGCACTTCGGCCATCCTCCCGCTGCCTTCCCCAGCGCACTAGAAGGGAGCTGGATCGGAAGTGAAGCAGTTGGGACTCGAACAGTCAACCATGTGGGATACTGGCTTGGCAAGTGGTAGCTCAACCTGTTGTGCCACAATGACCACCCCTGAATGTAATCTGTATTAGTCATCATCTTGTCTGTCAGTTTGATCGTTGGCAAATGGAGTTCCGTTGTTAGCTGGGGGTCACTGATGAGTTGCAGGTGTGGTTGCAAGAGTTTGTGTGTTCCTAACTCATGTCGCTTTCCACCAGTGGACGAGATGCTCTGTTGGCCAACAGCTGGGATGCGGCCGGCTGGGCCCCCGAGTGCACCTGCCGCAGTCCCGGACCCCACGGCCAGAGGGCGCTGCGACCCCTAAGCGCCCAACCCCGTTGGGGCTGGGGCGGAGGAGCGGGCAGGGAGCAAAGGTTGGCGTCTTCGTGCTGAGAGTTTCGCCAGAGAAGTGTCGGAATCATGACGGTGGGAGCCAGGCTCCGAAACAAGGCGGCGCGCACCTTCCCGCGCCGCGGGCCCCGAGGGCGACGGCAGACGGACGGGGACGAGGAGGCGGATGCCATCCTGGAGCACCTGGAGTGCGGGGACGAGGCGGCCGAGAGCGGCGCGAGCGAGGAGAGTGAGCCGCGCCCGGGGGCCCGGAGCGCGCGTAGGGTGCACCTTGCTGGCCTGCCAGAGCGCTATGAACCGCTAGAGGAGGCGACGCAGGGCGACAAGCCCAAGAAGAGGTACCGGCAAAAGCTGAAGAAGTATGGCAAGGTAGGGCAGTGCGCCTGCACCCCCGCGGGGTCTTGGCTCATCTCGGGTTGGGGACTCCCGAGGAACCGGCTGGGTGTCGGGAGATGGTCCCCACCGTCGGCCCCAGAAGAGCCGCCCTGCGCTGCACCTGCGTGCCGCCCCAGTCCCATTTCTGCTCCCAGCCACGGGCAAGTCCGGGTGGACACTGGCACGGGCTCGGGTCAGTAGCGTTCTCAAGGGGGGATCTTGCCGCTCTAGTTCGCTGATCAACCAGGCAGGACAGGAATGGTGTCCCCGGACAGATGGGAACGCTGGCGCTTCATCGCAGCTAGGTGACTTGGAGGTGACCCAGTTGGAAAGTGAGGAGTGGCAGCCTAGTTTATGTTCTCTGCCAACATCCCCTTCAGGATAACCCACTAGCTCAGAAATGTTTGGACTGTCTTTCCCAGTGCTCTCAGGGTTATTTCTGGGGCCTGGGAGCTCAATAAATGCATAAATAACCTGTTGAACCTACTTTTCTCTTCTAGCCAGCGACAAGGGGTGGGGGCCGAGAGAGACCCAGAGACCCTTGACCTGGATGAATCACAGAGGTCTTTGTGTCCTGGCCCAAGGCCCTGGGCGCCACCTGATTATTGTCTGTTATTTGTGCTCCTCGGTGTCCTCCTATTCAACCTGAAGCCATTCGCTCTCCACACCTGGAGCTTAGGTTCATCAGGCTCTTTAAAGTGTGATCGCAGCTTTCAGAGTGGCTCCCAAGTCAGCAGAGGTGAAATGCCCTAACAAAAACCATAGAGTTGGGACTTCAAGGCTTAAGGCAATGCTAGGACTAATCCTGTCACTTCCCGGTCCCAACTGAGCCTAAAGAAGCCATCATTGGCCTCTCAGCTGGTGCATTGATAATGCAGAAACTCAGCTCAGGGACCGCACTCGAAGATAGCTTGGGGCCCTCACTATGTGCTAGGCATTGTGCCAAGCGGTAGAGACATGAATAAGAATAAGCAGCAGCCCTGCCCTGCAGGAGTCTGGGGCTTCCTGGGGAGACACTGGCATAGCTGGGGCACCACCGTGGGGCCCATGACCCAGGGCTGAGGCAGGTAACTCCTCAAGAGTGAGACTGAAATCAGGGAAGGTTTCAAATTACAGTCATGGGAAACCTGAAGGATTACTTAAGATTTCACCAGATAAACATGAGATTCCCCTTTACACTCATTACTATGGCTGCAACATGTATAGAAATAATAGAAAAAACTGGCCGGTGCCGCAGCTCACTAGGCTAATCCTCCACCTAGCGGCGCCGGGTTCTAGTCTCGGCGGGGCACTGGATTCTGTCCCAGTTGCCCCTCTTCCAGGCCAGCTCTCTGCTGTGGCCCGGGAAGGCAGTGGAGGATGGCCCAAGTGCTTGGGCCCTGCACCCCATGGGAGACCAGGAGAAGCACCTGGCTCCTGCCTTCGGATCAGCTCAGTGTGCCGGCCGCAGCGTGCCAGCCGTGGCAGCCATTGGAGGGTGAACCAACTGCAAAGGAAGACCTTTCTCTATGTCTCTCTCTCTCACTATCCACTCTGCCTGTCAAAAAAGAAAAGAAAAGAAAAAAAAAATAGAAAAAACTAGTGTTGGTGAGAATATGGAGAAACTCACCTAGCTGGTGAGAATATAAAATGGATTAGCTACTGTGGAAAACAATTTGGTGTTTCCTCAAAAAGTTAAATACAGAAGTTGCCTATGGTCCAGCAATTCTATCCTAGGTATATAACCAAAGAGACTGAAAACCAGTGCTTAGCCTCAGCTGAAAATAGTACTCAACAGTACTCAAGTGTATACACCCATATTCATAGAAGCCTTATTTACAACAGCGAGAGGTGAAAGCAACCCGAATGTTCATCAATGGATCAATGAATAAGCAAAATGTCATATATCTATACAATGGAATATTATTCAGCCATCAAAATATATTAAGTGCTCACACGTGCTACCACATGGGTGATCCTTGAGAACATTATGCTAAGTGAAATAAGGCAGACCCACAAGGTCATATGCTGCATGTGTGGCTCTGTGTATAGAAAGAACCCAGAGCCGGTAAACCCAGAGATATGGAATGCAGATTGGTGGTTGCCAGAGACTGGAGGCAGGAGGAGTAGAGAGCATCTGCTTAACAGAGGTATTTGTTTTCCTTTTGGAATGAGGAAAATGGTTTAGAACCGATAAAAGCGGTGGTTTCACAACACTGCTGGTGCCACTGAAGGGGAAAATTTAAGTGGCTACTTTTATGTAAATTTTGCCTCAAGTGAAAGATAAAATAAATTGGCAGGTAGAGAAGGAGTGGAGGAACAGTGCCAGCAGAGGTGTGGATGTAGGAGAGCTCCGGAGTGACACGCACTAGCTCAGGAGGCTTCGGAGGCCAGGGGACAGGACCTCGTCACCTCAGGGCTGGACGTGGCCTTTCTGCCCTTCAGAGGGGCAACTTCAGCTTGCACTTCTGCAGAGCCAGCCCAGAGGGGAACCAGGCTCCCATGTAGAGGAAGAAAGCAGGTGGCCCCACTTTGCTGAAAAGCCATGAGAACAGCCAAGGTTCAACTAGAAAGGTGGGGAGGTGGTTTTACCTGCTTTAGTTACCAGCTCAAGTTTTATGTTTCGTGGGCTCCCAGTGGAGAAGGCAGTGCTATGCAAGCAGCCGTACATTATTAACAAACACACTTGCTTCAAGAAAGGAAAATTAAAATTCCTCTTCATCACCCAAATCCATCACCCAAGCACCCACCTGCTTCCATTCAAAGAAAGGTGTTTGACTTCGCAAAATAGGGGAAGGTGGACTCACACCCCCTGCTGCCTTCATAGCCCCAACCAAGGGTCAAGCCCAAAACTGGGCTGTTCCAGCCATCTCAAAGCCTGTGTGTCTGGGATTCTTGCCAGTCAACATTCTCCCTGATTTGTAAGTAGTGATAATGGCATTCATGTGTTGGGTTTATTGTTAAAGTTACCTCTGCTAAGTGCAAGGGAGGAGTCTTCAAAAAGGTCATGGAGAATGCATGCTAGGAAGATTCTATACATGGAGTTCAAATTTTTTTGCACCAAAATAAACTTTTAAGATGAGCTTTTCATGGACTTTTTGAAATCCTTGCATGTTTGCCCTGCTACTCCAGAATGCAGGCACCCTGAGTCCTTTCAATAACCTTGGAAAGCTGTGGTCACCCCCATGTTATAGTGGACACTTAAGAAAATGAAGACTGCGCGGCTGGCAGGCAGAAAAGCCAGGAGTCTGAGCTGGCCCCGTCCCAGGCAGAAGCCTGTGCATTGGAAGAGGTAGAGCACTCCCCAAAACTTAGCTTAAATTGAGGTCACTTTTCCCAATCACACTTGCGAGCCACAGGGAAAAGTTCAGATAAGGAAAGTAATTAAATTTTGTTCACTGGGCAGTGAGGAGCAGGGTGGAGGGGGGAATTCAGGGGATGGAAAATCAGTGGGTGAAATAACCTTTAATGTAAGCAGTAGAGAAGTGTCCCCTGGTGGCAAGAAGCGGGTAAGCGCATGGTGGTGCAGCCCTGCCCAGCCATCTGCTTGCTCCAAGACCTGGGGATCTGCCTGCATTTCTCTGCCTCAGTTTCCCCATTTATAGTGTAAGATAATTTTAGGATTGTAAGGAGTAAATGAATCAATTCAAGAGGAGATCTTAGAGTATACCTGGCATGGCACCTGGTAGCGGTTATGTTACTGCCATTACCCGTGGGGTAGAGCACAGGCCCAGTCTGCCTCTTTTCTTTTTCTTTTTTTTTTTTTTTTTAGAATTATTTATTTACTTGAAAGTAGGAGTTACACAGAGAGAGAAGGAGAGGCAGAGAGAGAGAGAGAGAGAGAGAGGTCTTCCATCCACAGGTTCACTCCCCAGATGGCGGCAATGGCCAGAGCTGCACTGATCTGAAGCCAGGAGCCAGGAGCTTCTTCCAGGTCTTCCACGTGGGTGCAGGGGCCCAAGGATTTGGGCCATCTTCCACTGCTTTCCCAGGCCATAGCAGAGAGCTGGATCAGAAGTGGAGCAGCCAAGACTCGAACTGGCGCCCATATGAGATGCTGGCACTGCAGGTGGCCCCTTTTTATTGATTTTTAAGTGAGCTCTAATTTAAAAACAAAACAAACAAAAGCCTCTGTAGCTGACCACACCCCTCAGGATTGTGCTAGGTCCTGGCAGAATTGCATAACTTTATATTGGACCTTGCCTTGGCTGAGAGTTGATTTCCTTTTGAAAGCCTGGGGAGGGGAGTGATTACTGATGTTGCCGGGGTACGTGGACCTGATGACATCACTGGGGAGTTGTACTTGAACAAATCTGGCCCAGAGAGACTCATTCCCTAAATTAATTTCCTCTGACTGCTGTAGCAATGACCACCAGTGTTATAGCTTAGAGTGGCATAGGTTCATTCTCCAACAGCTCTGGAGGCCAGAAGTCTTGCTGAGCTAATATCAGCAGCGAGGGCTCCTCCTGGAGGCTCCCCGAAACCCCCTGCTCTCATCCTCAGGGCCAGTGGCATAGACTCCTTAAACCAACCCTCTCTGTCTCCCTCTGCTTTCATCATTACATCACCTTTGTCCTACTCCTTCTACATCCTTTTCTCACCCAGGATAAATTCCTATCTCAAGATCCTCAATTTAATCACAGCTGCAAAAATGCTTTAGTCAGATAAGGTGATACATTGTCCTAGAGATCAGGACTTGAGTCTCTTGGGGAGGGCACATTATTCAACCTGGCACACTTGCCCGTGCCACTCCACTCCACTCCAAGTGCCCCTCTGAGATTAGCCAAGTCAAATTTCACTCAGGTCCAAAGATTCCAAATCTGCTTCCTCAAATGACACTGAAGTGGTTGATATTTTATATTTGTTTGCATTGTCCTTCTCAAGTCTGTATTTTGGTCATGTTCCAGTTAATGAGCTATTTTAGTAGATTTTTTCCAACTTGCAAAGATGAAGTGACAAGCAGCTTTTTAAAAATATCAGAAGAAAATGTGCTAATGCCAAAAAGGTCAAGTTTAAGGCAGGCAATTTTGACGCTGGTGGCATTATTTGTAAAGGAACACTCTTGACTTTGTTTCAAACATGTAAGTAAAATTCTCCAGATGAATCTCATCACACATTTGCAGAAGCATATCTCTTACCAGCATCACTCTCATACCCGCTCACATCTACCGTGAGCCTGAGTCCTAAGGTGTCTCACTGAGAACCCAACAGAGCAGTGTCAGGGATTAGTGTCCTGAGGAGAAGGGACTACCTGGTTCTCTCAAAGCTCATCATTTAGCAGGTGAGATGCCAGAGGAAACCCCACAGACTCCTTCCATGTGCTGGGGATACAGGATTGAGCACAAGAAAGTCCCCACCCTCCTTGTGTTACTGTGAGGGACTCCAACCTACAGAGAGCTCAAGTAAGTCAGAAATCATAGGAGGTTAAGCCCCTAATAAACTTTCCTAAACAGATAGCAAAATATCTTGGGTGTGTATGCCATCACCCCAAACCTCAGTTACAAAGCAAGTGTTATTTTGTAGCTGATGTTGTGGTACTTATAGTGTCTGAAGTTTGTGCCAGGCAGTATTTTAGTGCCTTCTGTGAATAGATTCTTTTAATCCTCTTAACTGAATATTCCTATTGTACAGATTAGGAAATGAAGTCAAAGGAAGTTGGGTGAGTGATGAAGCTGGAATTCACAGCCAGACTGCAAGGAGTTAACTACAAGGCTAAATACCTAACGCCTCCATTAAAGGGAGGTAGGTGCTGGTGTTTCGGCCCAATGGGTTAAGCCTCTGCTTGTGACACCTGCATCTGTTATCAGAGCCCTGGTTTGAGTCCAGGCAGCTCTGCTTCCAATCCAGCTCCCTGATACTGCATCTGGGAAAGCAGCATATGATGGCTCAAATATTTGAGTTCCTGCCACCCACACAGGAAACCTGGATGGAGTTCCTGGCTCTTGGCTTCAGCCAAGCCCAGACCTGGTTATTGTGGTCATTTCAGGAGTGAATCAGCTGATGAAAGATCTCTCTCTGTCTCTGTCTCTCTCTCACTCTTCCTTTCAAATAAATAAAACAAACCTTCAAACCTTTCATTTAAAAGGAAAAAGAAGGGATGTGACTATGGGATTAACCCTGAATTGAGATTTGGGATTGTATCTCAGCTCTGCCATATACCCACTATACAATTCAGATAAATATAACTCCCTTGTGCTTCACTCTTGTTGAAGCCTTATGGCCAAAATCCACTTGGAACACACCAGGAGTCAATCAAAGTTAGGTTATTTGCTAGCTACAGTACAGAAACGTGTGCCAAGAAACAATGAAGTCTCAACAGATGGAGACCTCAAATAGAGAACTGAGTGTTTGAGTTAAGGAGTTATCAGCATCCAGGAAACACTTTAAAGTCATTAGAAATGGATGACACTGCAACAGAGAGAGAGAGAGAGAGAGACTCCCAGCACTGAGTACTGAAGAACTCCAGTGTTTTAGGAATTGGTAGATCTAATCCTGTAAAGAAAGTTGAGCGGGCCGGCACTGTGGCATAGCGGGTAAAGCCGCCACCTGCAGTGCCAGCATCCCATATGGACTGCGGTTCCAGTCTCAGCTGCTCCACCTCTGATCCAGCAGTTTGCTGTGACCTGGGAAGGCGGTAGAAGATGGTCCAAATCCTTGGGCTCCTGCATCCATGTGGGAAGACCTGGAGGAAGCTCCTGGCTCCTGGCTTCAGATCAGCGCAGCTGCAGTCATCTAGGGAGTGAACCAGTGGATGGAAGACCTCTGTCTGTCTGTCACTCTCTCTCTCTCTCTCTCTCTCTCTCTCTCTGTCTCTCCTTCTCAGTGTAACTCTGACATTCAAAGAAATAAATAAATTTAAAAAAGAAAATTGAGGAGGAGCATTTTATGAGGTAGGCAAGAACCAAGAGAATACAGAATCAAAGAGATCAAACAACTGTTTCACCAACAAACATGCGTCAAACACTGCCGAGAGGGGCCAGTGTTGCGGTGCAGCAGATTAAGCTGTTGCTTGCAACACTGGCATCCCGTATTGGAGAATCAGTTTGAGTCCCAGCTACTCTGCTTCTGGTCCAGCTCACTGCTGATGCACCTAGGGAGGCAAATCCTTGGGCCCCTGCCACCCATGGGGGATATCTGAATGGACTTCCTGGTTTTTGGCTTCAGCTTGGCCCAGACCAGGCTCCTGCAGGGATTTGGGGAGTGAACCATCAGATGGAAGACTCACTCTCTCTGTCTCTGTCTCTGTCTCTCTCTCCCTCCCTCTCTCCTCCTCCTCCTTCCCCCTCCCCCCTCTGTTGCTCTGCCTTTCAAATAAATAAATAAGTAAATAAAAATCTTAAAAAAAGAAAAAAGAAAAAAAAAAAGAGATCAGGGAGAGGAAAACCAAGTGTCAATTGGCTCAGGCAACACGAAGACTGTAGATGGCCATAACCATGCAGTTTCTGGTTGCCTGAGGGCAGGAGGCAGAGTAAGAGGGAATAAGAAGTATGGAAGTGGAGGCTCTGTGTGTGGGTGTCTCTGTCAGTCACTTGGGCATGAAGGAGAACCTAGACTCACCTAGGGTGAGTATGTTTGCCAGGCAGTGTTGGAAGTCAAAGCAAGTTTTGTTGTTGCAATCAGGTATTTTAAGTGAAACCAATCAGTGTGGTTATTGTAGTTGGAAAAGCCAAAGTCCTGAGAGGCAATATGTGTGATGAGATAAGCTCCAGGTCATGTACATAGATGTTGATGTCACCAGGAATGATAACAGAAGTTGAGGGTGGAGAGAGGGGAAGACCAAAGGAAACAGTGCAATCAATGTTAGTCATTGGTGGTGGTTCTTTTTTCTGTGGCAATTCCACTTGAATCCCTTGGATATCCCCTATCCAGTACTGGGTCTTGTGGGGGAGGGGGGAGGGGAGGAGAGGGAAGGGATGAGAGAGGGAGGACAAGGGGAGGAGGGGGAGACAGAGGGAGAAAAGAGGAGGGAAAAGAGGAAGAGGAGGTGGAAGAGGAGTGCAGAACAAGAAAGCATTGCCGAATTGCCACCCTCAAGGAGTGTGTCATTGTACTGGAGATGTGTGACTTATGTGAGTACTGTTCTTAGAGAAAGGCAGATATAGGTGAGACAAAAACACATCTTGGAGGCAGAGGGAGGGCAGGATGGGTTTGCAGATGAGGTGAATGAAAGACTTGACCCATCCTGCTGATTACCCATGAACTTTTAGCTGGAGCAGAGAAGAGAAATAGGCTTTGGTTTAAAAAATAGAACTGGTTTGATTTAGAACTGGTAGTTTCACTGCTGTCTTAAAGAAGGTATCTATATTGGTCACCCTTTTGTTACTATAACCAAATACTTGAAGAAACTAACCTTATAAAGAGAAATGTTTATTTAGCTCACAGTTTTGGAGGTTCAAGTACAGTGTCAGGTAGCCTCACTGGTTGGGCCTTTGGTGAGGGTGGCAAATAGCAATGGCAGAGTGCATACAGAGGAAGGACCACATGGTAGCCAGGAAGCAAGAGCGAGTGGCTTGGCCCAGCTCAGGTTTTTATAACAACCCTCTCATTTAGGCCCACCTCCTCCACACTCTAGCTGGATTAAGTTTCCACTATTTTAGTGCCATTAAGTTTTTTTAAAGATTTATTTGAAAGGCAGAACTACAGAGAGGCAGAGGCAGAGAGAGAGAGAGAGAGAGAGAGAGAGAGAGAAGCCTTCCATATGCTGGTTCACTCCCCAAATGGCCACAGTGGCTAGAGCTGAGCCAATCTGAAGCCAAGAGACAGGAGTTTCCACCTGGTCTCCCATGAGTGTGCAGGGGCCCAAGGACTTGGACCATCTTCTACTGCTTTCCCAGGCCATAGCAGAGAGCTGGATTGGAAGTGGAGTAGCTGGGACTCAAACCAACACCCATATGGGATGCCGGCACTGCAGGCGGTGGCTTTACCTGCTATGCCACAATCGGCCACAGTGCCATTAATTTATGACTTCAGGGTTTAAATACATGAGGTTGCAATCCAAATTGTACTCAGATAATAGTAATCTCTGAATGATCTGGAAGTGTGCTGTGCTTGAAAGCAGTCTGCTGTGAGATGCCATGTGTCCTTGGTGGGGAGTCCGCGTGGGACAGCAGCCATAAGGAAACACAGTAACCTGCTATGTTGCCATGGGAGAATGAGGAAATATAAGTCTCCCTGTATGTTGCCATGACTCAGGGGGAAGCTAAAAAATTGCCTAACCTAATTTATTTTCTTTTCCATTTCTAATAATAGAATGTTGGGAAGGTCATCACCAAAGGATGCCTCTACATAGTCATTGGCCTGCAAGGATTCGCTGCAGCCTACTCTGCCCCTTTTGGAGTAGCCACCAGCGTCGTGTCATTTGTGCGCTAGTGGGAGCCACTGGGGCAGGTGTCACAAGAAAGAATGGAAGCCTCTGCTCAGGAAACAGTGCGAATCCAGGAGCCTGTCGGACTTGAACTCACAGAACACTTGGAAGAGAAACAATGTCTGTTGAATTGGATGAGTGTTTGTCCCTGCCCATCTGCTGAGCTTTTCTTGTCTCTCAGACACAAGTGGATCCAGTGGTCAGTCCTGCAGAGAATTAGGCCAAGGTTAGGTTTGGGCTTAGTTTGCTAAAGCCAGAGACTCCATGTGAAGGCAGCAAGGACTAAGGTGGAGAAAAACACCAGACAGATTCAAGCAGTATGTGTGGGTAGCAGAGTGGTGATTTTGAGGAGGCAAGAAGATGCTGACCTGGAGTCAGATGGCTTTCTGGATTCTTCTGGAAAGATCATGGACTGACAGGAGCACTCGTAGCCCTTGGCTTCTTTCATCCCTCAGGCAGTAAAAGAGCTGTTTATTTCTCCCTCGTCTCCTTCCTCCACCACTCTGTCACCAGGAATTTAATTACAGGCTTGGGAAGAAGGAAGGAAGACAAAAATCTCTTTGAAGGCTATGCTACTTTGAAAACTGTGCTGACAGTTGTGTCCTGAATGTTTGAAGCAGATAAAAGCTTGTCATTTTCACCCATCTCTACATGAATGTGCAGCTGGCAGTGAGGGAAGGAGGGAGGGTAAGTTCAGATGCGGTTGGGTAGCTGGGACGGGTTGATTGAGAGCTAGCACCTGAGGGCTGTAGTACCCAGCCATGTGTTTGGGGCTGGCCAGGCTCCCCTGCAAATGCATGGCTGGCTGGCAGCCTAGGCATCCTAGCAGCTTTGGCTTACTCCCGACAACCGCTCTGCAATGGGCTGGCCAAGGGTGCTTTGTTCTGGGGCACAGGGGTCAATAAGAGAGAGGAGAGGGAGGCAAAACACCTGTGAATGAAAATGAGGATTCAGAGAAGGAACCAGTAAGTGCAAGACAGTTATAAAGGAAGTGGAAACTAGGCGATGCGGATGTCAGAAGAGATCAGTGGAAGTCCAGAAGCCATTTGTCATTTTCACCCATCTCTACATGAATGCGCAGCTGGCAGTGAGGGAAGGAGGGAGGGTAAGATTCTTTGTGTTGAGGAATTGAGGTGGGCTGGGCCCTTGGCTATGGGTAGGTGCTGGGGAGGTGCAGTGGTGGTCCTCAAAACCCCTCTGGGGCTCAGGAACTGGCATGAGCTTTTGTAGCATCCTTCCTTCTCTTGACCGCATCTCACCGGGCCCAAAGGTTGGAGTAAATTTGATGCCTGAGTCTGATTATCAACAAGGATAATGCTGTGGGCCCCTGGAAAGGCAGGGGAAAGGAAGAAGAGGGACCTCTTACTGCGCCCTTTTGCCAACCTCCACTGTAAGCCACCATTCTGCCTTTGTGACCGGGACACCCACAAATCCTGTGTGACCTCTCTGGAGGATCAGGCCACGCCTACTTTTGCCCCAGGGGTTTTCCCAGGACATGCAAGGGATGTTCCAAGCATTGAGGATCAAGCCCAACCAAGAGCTATTGGAAGGTGGAGAGGGTAGAAAGGCAGACAGACAGATGGACAAAGGACAGGGTGGAAACAGCTGTAGCTCTGTAGTCTTAGTTCCCCCTTCTGGAGGCTCATGTACATGATACACCAGGACCAGTTCCTGCATCATTAACATTTGTGAGGAGAAGAGAGACCATGTTGTTTTAGCTCAGATGATGCCAAGTGACCCATGGCACATTTTTACGCATGTGGGACAATCATGGCTTGCCTGGCAACACTGGGAGTCAGAGAAAAGAAGAGACAGAGAAATGGAAGAAAGAGCCAGAGTTAGCAAGAAAGAGGTGAGGGCCAGTGAGGGCTGCTTGCTGCAGAAGACAGGAGGTTTTTGGGACTCCTTCCCAGTGGCTCAGTGATGCAGAGCAGAACCAGGGAACCCAGGAAGTCCTGGGGAGTGGTAGTGACGCAGGGAAGGGACGAGAGCTGCCGAGACCTTTCCTTGCCTGGGAGTCTATCCAAGAAAGTCCTTTTCCACCTCCCTGCCCCCCAACCTCCATATTGGAAAAACTACAAGGTCAAGCACATCTGGCCCTGTAATTCCTAAAATCTGGTTAAGAATTAACTCAGAAATGTCAAAAAACAAAACCCCACAGGGATTGTCCTGGGGATCAAGTTCACCTGTACAGAAGATGGACCTCCCACTGACACTCTGCCTGCAGAGTCCAGGCTGGGCTCCTGTGGATTTCATATGCTCAGTTCCTTGAGCTGAAGAACTTGAACTACACTGCCCATAACCTTGGCCCCTGTTGAACTCTCTAGACTCTCACCCTACTGAGAAATGAGTTAGAGCTCCCCCTTTTTGTGTTTCATCAAGAGGCTTCTTTTGTATCCTTCTCTTGCCCTGTTAATAAAAATGCCAAGTTGTTTAAGGTTTCTGTGTGTTTGTGTGTGAGAGGGAGAGAGACCTTCCTGGGGAGCCCATGGCTGCCCCCCAGGCTACTCCCTCGGGCCAGAGGAAAGGGGGTGCCCTGATTTACCTGGAAACCCTGCTTGGGTACAAAACAACAATTTTCTAGGAGCCAGTCCCCCTCCCAAAACACGTTTCACGTGCAGGATCCTCAGTGCATCATTCTTAAAAATACAAGCTTCCAGAAACTTCTATTCAGATTTACAGAGTCCAGCACGGGGCCAAGCTGCTCTATTTCCTGGAAGCATTGGCAATGTTCAGCGCGACTGTTCAGGACTGAGAAGTGCTGGTCCCCAGGCCCCTGCCAGGAGGGCAGCCCCATGCTGAGCAAATGTGACCTGCTTGCTCCCTGAATCCTCCTAGACGCTACAGGTGGTGGGGTGAAGGCAGAGGAGAGGAGAGGGCCTGGGCGGCCATCAGATTATCTGCTCTGCAGGATGGGGGGCTGTGGTGCCAACCTGCTGCCAGGCTCAGTGCAAAGCAGAGGGAAGGAACCTCTGTTTTCAGTCCTCTGTCCAGCACTGTGCCTTATCAGAGAAACCCCTACAAGAATCTCCTGACTCCAGAAGCAGGACTTGAACTCAGACCTCCCGTCTCCCCCTCCAGTAGTCCCCCTGCAAATGGTAGCGCCCTGATTGTGGTGTTTGATGGATCCAGCTTCTGTTACCCATAGTGACTTTCTGGTCCCTGACTCTCTGGGGGTACAGATAAACTGAATTAACTCTGCAATGCTGATAGTGGAAAAATTCTGAGATATCATAAATCTAGTTGCAAGACCTGAGGCTGGAGGAGAGGAGAGATAAGCTCCTCAACTAGAAGCTCCAGGCCAGGCAAAACCAACAATAACAACTAAAGAATGCTCCCTGTTCTTAAAGGCATGCTACACCCTTGACTCATAGCCCCAGGAGGACTGTTGGGATCATCACGTCCTGCTTGCAACCCCCAGCAATGAAGAAGCAACAAGCACCAGGGGTCTTCAACACGTTCATGGAAAATGAGTACTATGAAAAGCACTGCATGAGTTTCTAATTTTTTGCACCAGAATAAACTTGTCTTTTAATCTCGTTGTCCACAAACTCTCTGAAGTATCCTTGCACTTCTTGTAGACTGTCCTATCCCAAAACTTTGCCTGCATTGTCTTGTCCTGCCCCTCTTTTTAACATGTTCTAATTATTTATTTCATTCATTTGAAAGGCTGAGAGGGAAGAAGAGAGAGAGAGGGGACAGAGAGAACATGCACTCCCATCCATTGATCTATTTCCCAAATGACTGCAACAGCTGCGTCTGGGCCAGCCTGAAGCTAGGATCCAGAAACTCAAACTGGGTGTCCTGTGTGGATGGCACAGACCCAACCACCTGGGCCATTACCTGCTGCCTCCAGGGTCTGCATTAGCAGGACGCTGGGAATCGGAAGCAAAGCCAGCACCCACCTAGGTACTCCAGTGTAGGATGTGGGCATCTCAAGCTGAGTTTTAATTCCTGTACCCAGTGCTGTCTCCCTTACCGCTCTTATCAATACCCAAAACAGGTTCAATGTAGGCAGCTTGGTCTTCCTTCCACCAAATGTCAATGCTCTTAGTTCTGGTCCAGCTGACACTGTTCCCACCTCTGCCTAGCCTTGCTATGGGTGGCACAGGGAAGTTCCTTTCTGACTGGCATTTGTTAGGACTCAATAAATCCTTTTATTTCAGGTATCTCTTGGTGTCTAGACTTGAAGGCCATCAATCTGTTTTAAGCAGATTATAGATCTCCCTGTAAATTTAGTTATTATAACAAAAGTATGAGCATACACAAAGAAACAAAAGCAGAATGCCTCTCTCCCCACACTCCTGCACCCCATAAAGGCTGCATCTGAGAGGCTCTGTGGTTTTGCCAAAGATCCAGATGGTTCCTGAGTAAAAAAAAAAAAAGAAAAAAATTCTGGCTCCTTTGACCATTCATGATGAAATCTGAGAAATAGTATACAGTGTGTTTTTTAAGTATTTTTTTAGAGGCAAGGTTATTTTTAAGCCAAATGGTTCCACTGAACACCATAGCCGAGGGGAAAGGAGATGGCTTCAGAACTGCGCGGCTCAGTCCAGGAAGGCTGGTACCTGCTGGGCCACCCAGGGCAGTGCTGCCGGGGGTCGGGGGGTGGGGGCAAAGGCGGGGAGGACAGGGGCTGGATGCTAGGCAGGTGCTTCAGGCCCACCCACCCTTCAGCTCCAACTGAGACAAATTAGGACCAGAATTCAGCACCTTGCACAGTGTTTTTTTAAAAGGTGTTTCTCTGGTGATTCCTCTTCTATCACCTGTTGGTTTGATTCAAATGCATTTGATTCAAATCAAACATGAATATCAGGGCCAGAGGACTGGACCAAAGTGCAGGTGAAGAGCTCACCCTCCCCCCACTTTTGATTTTTTAAGATTTATTTATTTGGAAGTCAGAGTTACACAGAGTGAGAAAGAGAGGCAGAGAAAGAGAGAGAGAGGTCTCCCATCCGCTGGTTGACTCCCCAGTTCACTCCCCAGTTGACTGCAACGGCCAGAGCTGTGTGGACCCGAAGCCAGGAGCCAGGAGCTTCTTCCAGGTCTCCCAGGTGGCTGCAGGGACCCAAGGACTTGGGCCATCTTCTACTGCTTTCCCAGGCCATAGCAGAGATGGATCAGAAGTGGAGCAGCCGGAACTTGAACCGGCGCCCATATAGGGGGCTGGCACTGCAGGTGGCGGCCCTACCTGCTACGCCACAGCGCTGGCCCCCACCTCCTTTTACTCACTGTTTAATTCCAGGGTAAAGCACTTCACCCAGGACTTGCTTTCTTCATTGATAATGGAGATAGGGATGGGTTTTGTGGTACAGCAGGTTAAGCTGCCTCTGGGGACACCTGCATCCCGTATCAGAGTGCCTGGGTTTGAGTTCCTGCTCTGCTCCTGATTCCAGATTCCTGCTGATTTATCCTGAGAGGCAGCAGATGATGTTAAGTGCTTGGGCCCTGCGCACCACGGAGGAGACATCACATAGGAAACCTGGGTGGAGCCCAGGTTTCTATTCAGCCTGGCTTCTGCGGCTGTTGAGGGCATTTGGAGAGTGAACTAGCTGATGGAAGATCTCTCTCTCTCTCTCTCACCCCCCATCTCTCCCTCTCTCCCCATCTCCCCATCTATACCTTTTAAGTAGATGAAAATAAACAAACATTTTAAAAGTGGAGATAGGGGCCAGCGCTGTGGCGCAGCGGGTTAACGCCCTGTCCTGAAGTGCCATATGGGCGCTGGTTCTAGTCCCAGCTGCTCCACTTCCGATCCAGCTCTCTGCTGTGGCCTGGGAAAGCAGTAGAAGATGACCCAAGTCCTTGGGCCCTGCCCCCATGTGGGAGACCCGGAAGAAGCTCCTGGCTCCTGGCTTCGGATCGGCACAGCTCCGGCCGTTGCGGCCAATTGGGGAGTGAACCATAGGATGGAAGACCTCTCTCTCTCTCTCTCTCTCTCTCTCTCTTCCTCTCCTCTCTCTGTGTAACTCTTTTGAATAAATAAATAAATATTTTTAAAAAATTAAAAAAATAAAATGGAGATAAATAATTGGGTTGTTTTTGTTAGGTTTTGTGGGGGCACTTAACCATTGGAAAAACGTGTTCACATGCATGCTTCCTTTTATGATTGAAAGAGTCCTCCTCGCCCCCACCCCTTGCTTCTCCTGGTCCCAGTTCTCCAGCATGAAATAAATATAAGAGAAGAAAACAAAAATGCATTCAGCCTCTTGTAGGTAGGAGTTCGCTGAGCCGGGTGGTTTAATGATATCATTTTATTTAATTCTCAGTTTCACTGCATTCTCAGTAATCATGTCAGTGGAGCAGGTACTATTTGGATTATCTCCACTTTATAGATAAGCAAGTCAAACTCAGGAAAGTTAGAGAATCTGGCTTCAGCACCATGGCCATGGTGTTGAGACCGTGACACAGGCTCTGCGCTCCCTGCCAGGTTCATCTGCCTCTCATTTCCGCTCCCTCTAAGGCTCCTGTTACCTCCAGGGACCAGGCTGAGGGCAGACGCTTGAAATGTAATCACATTTCACGTGCATGCTTTGTTTCATTATTGTGATCCAGTAGCTAGAAAAACTCCAAAAAGGACTCGACACGCTGACCAGCCCACTGCACTCCAGATTTTTGCAATGTCGAGATTGCATAGCTGCTGCTGTGTGTTTGTCAAGGACGTGAAGGGCCCAGAAAGGAGTGTGGATCTTGTTCCCACAGAGTGGGTTCTCTACTTTCCATCCCGGAGGCCCGAGCACCACGGTCCAAAGCCTCAGGGGCAGAAGGAAGCCACCCTGCCTAAGAGGCTTCAGACAACCTGGCTTCCCACCCTCTGGTATGTGACCTTGGGCAACCTGCTCAATGTCCTGGAATTTTGGGGCGTGGTTTTACTTCATTTGTGAAGTAGAGCAAGCACTATCTACCTTAAAGGCTTATTCGGCATGCTACAGGTGTATTAAGAAACCAGCGTGTAGGACATTCATTGATCTGCTTCCCCGGGTGAAAGTCATTTGCCCCTACAAGACCTGAATGCTCAGGGTTGGGCAATGAAGGGGGAGAGTGGGAGGGAGGGTGGGGGGGAGGCAGCAGAGAAGGGAAGGAAATGAGAGGATGAGACGCACCTGCCTCCTGGCCCGTTAGTGCTGTTATCTCTTCCCGGGTTCCCTATCGATTAGAGACCCAAATCTCCCTTTTCTTGAAAGCAAACTTGGGGGTAGTTGTTTGGCACAGTGGCTAAGATGATGCTCAGGACACCTGCATCCCATATTGGAGCCCCTGGGTCCGAATCCCTGCTCTGCTCCTGATTCCAGCTTCCTGGGAGAGCACAGCCCGAGAGGCTGCAGGTGATGGGTCAAGTCCATAAGTACCGGCAGCCCATGGGGGATGCCTGAATGGAGCTCCAGGCTTCTGTTTGGGCTTGGCCCAGCCCTGCTATTGCAGGCATTTGGAGGAGTA